TATATAATTTGTGTACATAACAATAGCAATCTAAAATGCGACTGCTAATGGATAGGACTTGTATTCTGCTGCTGCCGGCACTTTTGTTGGTACTGTTTTTTCCGTTGACTTTAATTATTATAAGCCTTAATATTATTATCCCCGTGGGCTAAACAGGCCTACCAATGACCATCCAGCTGCTATAAGCTCCTCCTGCGCCTTCTGTAGCCGATCGATTTTTTTTGTTGTTCTGTCCGAGTGTCCCTTCGCTCAGCCTGACTGCTCTGTTGCTGCATGGTCTTTTCAAACGAGAGCGATGTGAGTCGATCCGGTCGTCAGTTATTGAGAGAAAGGCCAAATGGAGTTGGTGGGCTGGCGGACGGTTGGGCCGGCCCGCAGGACGCATATGGACGAAGCTGCATAGCGCAAATTACCATCGATAATAACACGACCTGCCGTGACGACGACGTCGACAGCAGCAGCATCAGGGGTGGTAGTGGTGTTCTTGGCTGCAGGTCGTGGTCGTGCTGCCGTGGCGGTAGCTGTAGTTGAGGCAGAAGCATCGACAGCAGTAATAATATCCGATTCAGTGAAACTGTTGTTCCTGGCGCCGTTGGAGGGTGCGCGTATGCTGCTGCTCCTTCCGATGCCTGTTATTCTGATGACTGCTTTTTCGTTTGCTGGTTGACCGCTGGCTGATGCTTGCCTGCCTGCCTGTCTGACTGACTGGCTGGCTGGCCGACCGGCTCTTTGTGACCGTGGTGAGCTGCTGGCGAATGGGACGATGGATCTCTCGTCGGTGACGAGAGTAGCTGTTGCTCGTCGTAGTGATGCTGCTGCTGCTGGTGGCCTCTGTTAGCTGCTCAGCAGGGAGAGATGCTGCTGCTGAATGTGCTGGTGGGGCTTGCTTGTAGCCATCATAGTTGTTGTGTCTGAGATCGACGTGGTGCCATGTCGCTGCCGGCAGTGTCTGTTGTTGCGGTCGCTGCTGATGAGTATCAGACCTGCTGCTCCTGCTGTGGCCGCTGCTGTTGAGGATTATAGCGATGAATCTGGCTACTGCTTTCGGCGTTGTATTCCTTCCTTTTACTTACAACCGTTGTACCGTTGTTGTTGTTGGTGTACTGCTGGGTTCTCGACGGATAGAGGGGCGCGTAGTCAGAATCCTTTGTAGCAGCAGCAATGGTGGCACATAGATACAAACAGACAGATGCACACCTCGGACACCAAGATGTACATGCACAAGTTTTTGTGGTGGGCTGCCGCTGCTGGTGATGTACCTACCTCCTCCTACAGCTACGTAGGTTGATAAAAGGTGGTAGTCATGCCCGTAGAATAGCATTGGCATCAGAAGTGGCTGCTGCAGCAGTTGACTCTGCTGCTGGTCGCAGGTAGAGAGAAAAGTGGGCTGAAAATATGAGGGCAGTATGCCCAGTAGAAGTAGCAAATTTAAGGTTATAGTAGTGATAATATTATTACTTTGAAATGATCATCCGCCTACCTCTATACAAGGGCTTTATAATACGTATATGCCTGGTATATGCATTACGTATACGTAGGTGCATATCCACAGCCGTGTATATATGCATGTATTTTTTTCATCTATTTGTCTGTGTGTTGAAGCCACCGACCAGCAGTAGATGGCCACATGTTCGCACGGCCGCTGCTGCTGCCGCTGATTCGTGAGTGGGCGAAGCGCAGAGAAGCAGCTGACAACGCACCCTCTATTTGTTACGACGACG